AACTCAATTAACTTATAGCACATGCTATATCTGGTCGAGTACAATTCATGATATACATTAAACATCCCAGCACACGAGCATAATCCAATTGTTATATTCTTCGGCTTTTGTTCTTTGTAAGTGCATGATTCACGTCAATTTGAGTCTTTGCAACTTTAAAATATAAGTACTTGAATTTTTTCAAGTACGGTTTTAATGTAATGATATTGCGACAATGCCAGACCTTGAGGAGTCTTATGGATCTTAATACCCAAGATTAAATCGGCAACTCCCAAGTCTTTCACATCAAACTTACTAGTTAGCATACGCTTAGTCGCATTTATATTGACAATGTCATTACTCATTATCAGCATATCATCCACATATAAGAAAACAATGACTATGTGATTTGTAACATTTTTAATGTACACACATTTACCATATTCATTTATTTAAAATTATTTGACAATATTGTTTGGTCAAATTTCACATGCCATTATTTGGGTGCTTGTTTTAGTCCATAAAGCGACTTACTAGTCTACGTACCTTCTTTTCTTTACTTGGAACCACAAACCCTTTAGGTTGTTTCATATAAATTTCTTCCTCCAAATATCCATTTAAGAAGGCCGTTTAACGTCCATTTGATGAATGTGAAGATCATATACTACAGCTAATGCTACTAACATTTGTATGGACGTAATGCTTGTAACTAGAGAGTATGTATCAAAATAATCAACCTTCTCGTTGTCTATACCCTTTGACCACAATTCTTGCCTTATATTTGTCAATAGTACCATCATTTATCATTTTTCTCTTAAAAATCCATTTAGAATCCAATGGTTTATTGCCTGGAGGAAGATCAACCAATTCCATGTATAGTGGTTTAGGATGGATTCTATTTCACTATTGACTGCCTCTTTCCAAAATAATAATTCGGAAGAATACATAGCTTATTTAAATGTTTGAGGCTCATTTTCTAATAAGAAAGTCACAAAATCTGGTCCAAATGAAGTTGACGTTCTTTGACGTTTACTACGTCTTGGATCCTCCTGATTATACGTACTTTCTTTTATTTTTTCCCGAAGTCCTTTATATCCTTCACTAATTGACTCGCATACCTTTTTATACAGATAAATATTTTCAAAAAATTTCAGCATTATGTGATTCTATAATCGTATTATTATTAATGTCGGGATTTTCTGATATGTGAACCAGAAATTGATATGCTTTACTATTTGTTGCATATCCTATCAAAACACAATCAATGTTTTGGCCCTATCTTTACCATTTTGGATTTAGGAACTTGCACTTTTGTCAAACACCCCCACGCTTTAAAAATAATTCAAGTTGGGCTTCTTTCCTTTCCATTTTTCATATGGAATGGATTGCGTTTTCCTATGGGGTACTCGGTTTAATATTAGATTAGCTGTAAAATTGGCTCCCACCCCCCCACCCCCACAAGTTCTATGGCAAACCAGAACATATCAACAAAGCTTTTATCATCTTCTCTAATGATCGATTCTTTCTTTCCATAATCCTATTGGATTGGGACGTGTAAGGGGTTGTTGTTTGATAAATAATTCCATATTCTAAACATATCTCTTCAAAAGGAGACTCGTATTCACCACCCCTATAACTTCTTACCATTTTGATTTTCTTGTTAAGTTGAGTTTCAACTTCATTTTTGTATTGCTTGAATGCATCTATTTCTTAATCTTTACTATTACGTAAGCAAACATAGCAATATCGAGTACTGTCGTCAATAAAAGTTATAAAATACTTCTTTCCACCGCGAGATAGTATTGACTTCATGTCGCAAATATCTGTGTGAATTAAGAATAAAGGATTTTAATTCCTCTCAACTGACTCATAAGGATGTTTAACATACTTAGATTCCACACATATTTGACAATTTGATTCGTCGTATTCAAACTTAGGCAATACTTCAAAATTAATTTTTGCAAGGTTTCTAATTGACATATCCCAAACGTATATGCCATAAATCATTTGACTCAAGTAAGTAAGCTGAAACTTTATTATTGTCAACAACCATCACATTCAGCTTGAAAAGGCCCTCAGTAAGATAACCTTTTCCTAAGTACATCTCGTTCTTACTTATTACAACTTTGTCTGAAACAAAAATACACTTAAACCCATTCTTGATGAGAAGTAAAATAGAAACTAAGTTCTTCCTTATTTAAGGAACATGAAAAACGTTGTTCAGAGTCACCACCTTGCCAGATGTCATCTTCAGGAATTTTTTTCCATAACCTTTAATTTTGGCCGTTGCTGAATTTTCCATAAAAATGGTCTCATCGGGTCCAGTGGGAGCATATGAAATAAATGCATCTCTAATAGCACAAATATGACGGGTGGCTCCAGAATCAATCCACCACTTCTTAGGATTTCCCATTAAGTTGCATTCAGACATAATAGCGCACAAGTCATCAATATCATCATTTATTTCAACCATATTTTCTTGACCTTTTTTCTTCTCTTTATTTGGAGCGCGACATTCTGCAGCTTTGTGTCCAACCTTTCCACAGTTGTGACAGTTTTCCTTGATTTTCTTCTTGCTGGGATAGTTGTTTGGTCCAGAAGACTTCTTCCTCTTTTTCGAATTAGTCGAAGCAGTCTCAACAATATTTGCTCCTATAATTGTTGAGTTCCCACGTGTCTTCTTTTCTGCAGCTTTATTGTCCTTTTCGATCCTCAATAGAATGATCAGATCTTCGAGTTTCATCTCCTTGCGCTTGTGTTTCAAGTGGTTCTTAAAGCCCCTCCATAAATGAGGCATCTTCTCAATTATTGCTGCAACTTGAAATGCCTCATTGATTACCAAACCTTCAATAAGAAAATCGTAATTAGTAACTAAATTAATACTTTCAGCAAAAGTATTAATTCGGATTATACCTTTAGCAAGGAGATCATGGATTACATTTTGCAACTCTTGAACTTGGGTAATGACAGGCTTGCTGTCTACCATCTTATAGTTCAAAAACTTGGCTGCAACAAACTTCTTCAAACCGGCATCCTCGGTTTTATAATTTTTTTCCAATGCATCCCATAGTTCTTTAGAAGTTCCCGCATTACTATAGACGTTGTAAAGATCATCCTCCAATCCGCTAAGAATGTAATTCTTGCACAAGAAATCTGAGTGCTTCCATGCCGCAGTCACAATAGAACGTTCATTATCAAGCTGATTCCGGCAGAACCGGAACGTCCTCCTTGATGAACTTTTGTAGACTCAAAGCAGTCAAATAGAAGAACAACTTTTATTGCCAACGTTCGAAACCAATCCCAAAAAAAATTTCGGGCTTTTCCGCTGGAGCTGGTGGTGGCACAAAACGATTGAAAGTAGCACCATTGCTCATAGAGCCAACCAAGGGGGTTCCTGTTTATGTCATTTCTGTTAATTACAAAACAAAAACAAAATTAATTAATGGTGAAGTATTTAAAATCTTCAAACTGAATAACTTTAAAAAAAAAATTAAATACCATGGTGAAGAGTTTATTTCTACGAATAGACAACGAGTAGAAAATCACAAAGATTTTAATCTTGTAATTTGGTAGAAAGTCTATGGACTTTAATCTCAACCAAGGAGTAGAAAATCCAAAGATTTTGGTCTCCAAACTGAGAGTAGAAATCACTAGAATTTAATCTCCCACAAGCAGAATATAAAATGAATACAGAAAAGAATTTTCTTTTTAAATTAATTTCCTTAATCTTGTAAGTATTCTGTATTCGAGATTATATTTAAAAATAAAAACGATATAAAACTAGAAATGTAGAAGAACATAATTAATCTGAGCCCACTGAATTCACAGTGTTTCCTTAAGGAACTTAATCCCCTCCAAGTACCCGAGGTTTAGGATTATTTCCTCCCAGGGTAGAACGGATTACCCTCACTGGTTTAGCGGTATTTCAAACCCCAGTGACCAATGAACTCAAAGATCAGTAGTAAACCACACTTACTGCTTTCTTTCTGTATAAAACAATGTAGAATGAAGAAGGAGAAATTAGAATCTCTTCATGTACGGCTGCAACTCAAAATGGTTGTTTTATAAAACGGTCATTTATGCAAACCACCAAATTCAAATTATAACGGGAAAATTAAAATGGAGAAAAAATTAAATTAAAGTTGCAGAAACGGTCTAATTTTGGATTAAATAATATTTCGTTAATATTAATAAATAAATTTGGTCCAAAAAATTGTTCAATCAATCAGCGAAGCCGAGCGAGCGACGACGACGACGGCGGCGCGAGGCTTGCCTTCTTCTCAACTCTTTAAGAGCTAGAAGAAGTGCAATTGTGTATATACCCATCAAAACTCTTTTACTCCCCAATATGGGACAATGTCCCTTTGTCAAAGAGGAAAATTCAAAAAAATTCATTTTTCCTCCATTTTCATTCACTCTATTTTAAGCTCTAAGAAGCTTAAACCCAACATGCTCGAGAATTGCGGCACATATCTCAAAGGATTGAGGAAGATTTTGGAACTTCATGATGAAGAGTCCTTGATTAGAGCTCCTAATGTCCCATTATCCCACTTTAAAACCACCAAAGTTACATCTTTTCGCCCACTGGAAATGGATCATAAGCTTAACTTAATCAGACAAGATAAAATGTGGAACTAATTGGAAAGTTTGTTTCTTATTTCACAAAACAGTAACAACAAATCTTCAATACCAGAATTGAACGAAAGACTAAACTTCCAGCATATATTCTGCATTGGACTTGGATTGAACAAGGTACAACTATCAAATAAAATAAGGAAGTATTAGTGAACCCAACTAAGCTGATATGGATGAATAGTTCACCCCATAAAAACAAAATACACTTGGACCCCGCCGCCTTGCGTCATTTGACTCACGTGCTTGAAACACTCCCTTTTTCCCCCAAAATGCTTTACAAATTATTTTAAAATTTCATTTGGTATTAATTAACTAAATTATCCCTATCAAATAAAATACTATCATTCCTCTAACAAGTTCCCTCAATCTTCACGTATATAAAAGCCTTTAGTCATCGTTTAAACTTCAAACACAAAAACAGTCTATTCTTCTTCACCTAACTAAAGTCTGCATTCAAATCTTGAATATGGATTCATCATTTATGCACTACCAGAACCCATATGATCAGAATTACTCACCCGAATCATCTTCATGGGATGAGCTTCTTTTTCATCAGAATTCTCTTCCATTTAACGTTAATGACACCGAAGATATGTTCCTTTGTAATCTTGTCGCCGAGGGTGACCGTATTGTTGTTAAAGAATCATCAACAGAAACAATAAACTCTTCCTCTAGCTCCGGCACAAAGGAAGAAGAGGTAACTTCCTGCGAACCCGAAAAGGAAAAGAATTACAGAGGTGTAAGGAAGAGGCCATGGGGTAAATTTGCTGCTGAAATAAGGGATTCAACGAGGAATGGTGTGAGGGTTTGGATAGGAACATTTGATAGTGCTGAAGCTGCTGCTTTGGCTTATGATCAAGCTGCATTTGCAATGAGGGGTTCATTGGCAATACTTAATTTTCCTGTAGAGATAGTGAAAGAGTCTTTAAGTGAAATGAAGTGTAGATTTGATGAGGGTTGTTCGCCAGTGATTGAGCTTAAGAAGAAACATTCTATGAGGAAAAAGACTCAGAGCAGAAGAAACAGAGTAAGAAAAGATGAGTCTAATGTTGTGGTATTTGAAGATTTGGGTGCTGAGTATTTGGAGGAATTATTGAGTTCCTCGGAATGTGTTACAAATTGGTGACTATCTTTCTTGTTTATTCCTAGATTTTCTTAAAGTTGCACCACTTCTCCCCTCTTCCTCAGTAGCAAAATGCTACTCTGCTCTGTATTTATCATCTTGATTTAGGCCTTCATTTGTTGATGACTTATTTAATTTATGCTTCTTTTCTACAGCCAAAAGGGCTAATGTTTCTTGTTCTGTTTTTCTTCTCCTTTTATTTCTCATCAATTCTAATGCAATGACATGCTAAAGATGATGTGTTTCTCCACAAAAGTTGCGTTTGCGCTTTGAATTTCAATACCAGCAGGCAGCAGCTGAACCTCTTATTACAATTAACATTGCTTTAGTATTAAATTTGAGTTCCACCATTGGCACAACATTTGAGCTGTTGAAAAATACCCCCTTATTTATGGGTGTCCAAATAAATTTGAAGTTTTGCTGTGGGAGCTTTGGAACTCCATGAAGGAGCTTCGCAGCTCGAAGTTCAACTCAGATTTAGAAAATCTTACTCTAAAATGACTGGATGAAGTTAAAAATTGTTGGAAAAGCTTATAGTAATTTGAATCAAAAGTGATGGATTGATTGAGTTTGATTAATGTTAGTTTTGAGAATCACACCAATTGAAAAAGGAAGTCGAAGGTGAAACCCAATTTTTCGTATATAATATTTTGCATTATTACACAATGTTATACAAAATTATAATAAGTATATAATGTATAATATTCTATACTTGGTGTATAAACATTGTTATATAATATTGTTCTTTTGAAGCAGTGGTTTAAAGTAAGTTCCTCTTTCATTGTAGGGATTTTAGTTTTGTTGCATGTTTTTAGTTTTTTATTTTGTTGTGTTTCCCTTTTGTGTAGGGTACATTTTGTTTAGATTTCCTTTTTCCTTTTACTCAGTTTCAAATTAGATGAGGTGCTATCCTTTTTATTCTGTTCCAAAATAAATGACACATTTCTAAATTTAGAAATAATTCAACTTTAAAGTCTTCAATTTGCCCATATTACCCTTAATGAGAAGCTTGCCTTTTATAACCACACAAAATGCCATGACCCCACAAAGCTTTTACCCCTTGAACTTTTAAGACCACATTTCAAAAATCTTCTTTTTTTTCTTAAACTCCGTGCTGAGTCAAACTACCTCATCTAATGAAACGGAGGGAGTAGTTCGTATCCTCTGTGTTTCAGGTTAAAATTGGTTTTTTGCTTTTTTTCTGTTGGTGACATGAAAGAAAAAAAATTGTCCAATGACTCGCTAGGTTTCTTATACCAATTACTAGAAATTTTATCTTTGTGGTCACACAATTGACGTATCAGCCATCAGGCACAAAGTAAAAAAGTTCACTTTTTATCTAGCTAACAAAGATACAGAGACAGGCTTACTAGGTACGAGTTATAGGAGGCCGCTATATTAGTACTCTGACACTACAATTAAAATCTTGAACAAGAATTATATCCTTGAGGACGAATTGCTTTTCTTATCTCTTCATGAATTCAGAGTGTGTTATAGGAATTGAGTCTGTCATTTTATTTCTTCAATAAGTAGTATATAAAATCCCCAAAAATGTATTTACACATAACTTGCATGTTTGCAATTTGAGAGCATTCATGTTATTAAACTAATCATGATTGCTTTCAATATCAATTCACCATTACATCTTGAGAATTAGCACAAGCACACAAACAAAGGCATACTATTTGAAATTGGTATTAGGAGGAGGTAATGAGAAGAACAAAATTTTAACCCCCAAACAAGAAAAGCACTGTGGTCTGAGGGATTTCTGGCGAAGATCGTACCAATATTTCAGTGTCTGCCACACCATTTCGACTATGGTGGCTTGTTCCAACTCTCTCTTTTGCCTGCAAACTGCCAACCAAAGACAAATTGGGCGTACAAATATAACGTCTTGTAGTGATAGCAGAAAACTGCATCCTCTCCTCTGTGCACAAAAGTTACTTTTATCTTTACTGTGTCTATTTTTTTTTTTATGTTTCCCACCCGGTGTCCGGTACCCGCATTGGAGCCCGACTATATTCGGATTCGTGCCGCGTACGGCCCCATTCGAGGGAAAGCGCTCCCTACCAAGGATTTTTCCATACCCAGGGCTCGAACTCGAGACCTCTGGTTAAGAGAGGAGCAGTCCCATTCGCTGCAACACATCCTTTATTGAGTCTATTTTATTTAGTCGTTTCCAATGCATTTCCAATAATAGTTCTCTTATACCTCAAGTTTTATCTCGCTTGATTTTACCACTACGGAAAATTATCCAATGGTGAATAAAAAATGTAGAAAAGTTTTGCCCCCTAGTAACCATTTTTTTTTCCTAGTGAGAAAAATCAAATTAGGCAAGTAGTGAGAAGGCCAATAGGATTTCTAAAAGGAAAAACTGGAGGGATTTCTGAGGACTGTGTACTGTCTTCACAAACCAATAAGAACAAAACTGTACGTTGATCTTTCACCAATATAGCAGTACCTGCTCACCAAGACCAAAAAGGACTGCAAAATAAAATAAAACACGGTAAAGACAAAATATGCTGGTCTCCTAGGGACAACCTGATAGCAACATAAATCCTTTTGTAGTAGTATTTCCTTAAACTTGAGCTGCTGCTTCTTTCCTGTCTCCATATCCTCTCTTTCTTTTTTCATCTCTCCACAAAATGGAGTTAGCAACTAATGATGAATTCCATGGAATAGAAAAAACACAATGCTTGATCGGAAACATCTTTTCAGACAGAGTTTTTGATATCAGATACGTGGAATGCATGGTTCAAAGAATTTGGTACTGTGAGGTTAGAGTGACGAGAATCAGAGGCAACATATTCGAGTTTTATTTCAAAAAAGGAGATGATTGTTACAGAGTTCTTGGGGCTGCTCCTTGGACAGTCCAAGGCGGATGTCTTCTCATTCTTTCTCCTTTGTTTTCTGGAAATATCCCCTCTGAGTTACATTTCTGGGTTCAGGTCCACGGCTTACCAACTCACTGCTTCACTTATCAGAATGCATTCAAGATTGGTCAGTATTTGGGGAAATATTTGTATGTTGACAAAGGTGTTTGGAGCTCTAAGTTTCTACGAATTCGGGTGAGGTTTGACATAACAAATCCATTGGTTTCTGGATTTTGGCTTAATTCTAGCTGGATTCGTTTCAAGTACGAAGGATTGGGCCAGTTTTGCTACAAATGTGGTCGTATTGGGCATTACGAGAGCACATGTAAATTCCCACCACCACCAGGGAATGAACGTTTTGGCCCTTGGTTACGAGTTGAATCTTTGAGTCTGCTTAAGCCTACTAAAACAGAGGACTCCATTACTGTTGTCCAGAATCATACGCCAAAGTTCAAACTGATTCCTTCACCAAAACTCCAGGAATGGCAAAAAATATCACCTGATCAACACCTAGACAATCTTGACACTACCCCACCAAAGTATGCTTTAACTTGTCCTGTTTTTCCCAAGTCAATTTAAAATTATGTACGTACTAACTAATTCTGTGTGTATGTATAAACAGGAGTGAATGGGCAAGGCTGACGATAAACGCGGTAGATTCAATGATTATGATGATGAACTGTGTAGTAATAAGGCATCGAGTAGCAGAGGCTAATGAAGTAGAGGGATATGGATTGTTGATTCTGATGATGGTTGCTTATTTCTTCTACTTGGTAATCAAGTTCAATGCTATTATAGTCCAGTAACTCAGCTTAAGGACTTGTTCATCTTGCTCATGTTTTGCGTTGCATTTCTTATGTTTTGTTGATTGTCCCCAGTTCATTTGTTTTTTCCAGTTGATTGTCCTGCTCGTTTCGGAATTAATGTAGGAGCTTAGTGGTAGTAGATGTTTTGCGAAATTTTTGACTAGACATATGGTTATGTTGCAGTGAAACTCTAACCACTCCCTTTTTGTTATGGACCTCATAATTTTAGTATCTATCTTTGCTTTTATATTTCTCTAACAACTCAAAATAAATTTGTATACGGCCAAAATCGGGCCTACCCGATTTTGCTATTTGATCGAAACAAAGGAGCTGCATCGGGGTAACCTTGTAATGAATCAAACCCGAGCTCGAAGAAGAGGCATCGAGTCCAAAGATCGAAGTGTCCGTCGAGACCGAGCCCACCAGCAATCGAGACTAAGTAAGTGTCTTTGATTTCAGGAATCAACACGTCAAACTCTCAAGCAGTGCCCACTCACACAGACACCGGCCTTGGTCTTCATAGAGAGAACGAACACATAGTCGCCCCGGGAAACGGAGTACCTCCAATCAATCCCGTTGGACCACAGGCCGTAAATCCAATCGATGTCAATTCTCGTGTTGCGATTCATGGAAATTTAGGCATAGACCTTGAAAATAGCGTCCATAGAGACCATCGCTCCGCGTTCGCGACCGAGTCTCCGCGTTCACGTAGAGAAGAATTTTTCCCCAGCCTAGATTTCCTTCACGATCGCAAGAGTGACTACGTGATCGCGAAGTACAATATACCAGACACCAGATACATCACCCTCACACCAGATTTTTCTAAGTCCAAACCTCCCGTAGCCTATCCGAAACTCACCCGAGCCCTCGGAGCTCCAAACAAAACATGCACACAAGTTCTAAAACATCATACGAACTTGCTCGCGTGATCAAATCGCCAAAGTAACACCTAGAACTACGAATTTAGCACCAAATCGAATGAAATTTTCAAGAAAGTTTTAAAACTTCTATTTTCACAACCGGACGTCCGAATCACGTCAAATCAATTCCGTTTCTCACCAAAATTCACGGACAAGTTTTAAATATCATAACGTACCTGTACCGGGCTCCGGAACCAAAAATACGGACCCGATACCAACATGATCAAGCATTAACCAAATTCTTAAAACCATTGGATTTTTTAGTCTTTCAATTTTCATCAAAAATTCATTTCTCGAACTAGGGACCTCGGAATTCGATTCCGGGCATACGCCCAGGTCCCATATTTCGATACGGACCCACCGGGACTATCAAAATACGAGTCCGGGTCCGTTTACTCAAAGCGTTGACCGAAGTCAACTAAATCAACTTTTAAAGGCAAAAATTATTATTCTCATCAACTTTCAACATAGAAACTTTCCGGAAACACATCCGGACTGCGCACGCAAATCGAGGAGGGTAAAAATGAGATTTTGAAGGCTTCGGAACACAGAATTGAGTTCTAAAACATAAGATGACCTTTTGGGTCATCACATTAATCAATTGGTATTAGGTGAAATCACGTATCCTTAAAAGCACATTACAAGTTTAATTGTGCCTCGATTTTTAGGGTAAACAAAATTCAAGAAGCATGAATAGTGAATCAAACTTCGAAATATAAAGAAAATTAAAGAGACAAAAGTGCCCTCTGCATAATTGGACACTATAAGCTTTAGTGCTTTACTTGTAGCACAAAACAATAGAAAGTAGGAATCTTTTATTGGATAATCAGAAATACAAGGGAAATTGGTTACAAATTTATTCTCATAAGTAGAAGTATATATGAATCTCATTGCCAGCATTAGGCATGAACATAGGGCAAAGGAATCAAGTACAAATTGTTTTTCCTTTCAAGAGCATTGCCGAATTTCTCAGTCATGTCTAGTTCATTTGGATTCATTCCATTGGGAAGCTTCCAATCAAAATGGTAGAGTAATAGTGCTAGACTAAGCTCCACAGTTGCCATTGAAAATGATAGTCCTGGACAAATTCTTCTTCCAGTGCCAAATGGTGTAAACTCGAAATGAGCTCCAGTAAAATCAAGGTGACTTTGATTAAATCTCTCTGGATCAAATGTTTCAGGATTTTGCCAATAATTTGGATCCCTTGAAATTGCCCAAAAATTCACAAGGGCCATTGTGCCTTTTGGTATAACATAGCCATTAATCTCACACTCTTCCCTTGATTCTCTTGGTGCTAATAATGGAGCTAAAGGATGAAACCTTACTGTTTCCTTAACTACCATTTTTAGGTACTTAAGTTTCTGAATATCATTTTGGTCAATTCCCTTTTCCTTTCCTTTGAAAACTTGTCTTACTTCATCCTGTGCTTTTTTCATTATTTTCGGATTTTTCATTAGTTCTGAAAATGCCCATTCCATTGTTGACGCTGAAGTTGTAGATCCTCCTGCAAATAAGTCCTGCATATATATCCAAGCACAACTAATTTACAACTATAATGAACTAAGACTAAATTAAGAAATTAGGAATTATAACCGCTCTACAACTACTATTGTTACTATGCATCAATCCCAAACAGCTATATGGATTCTCAATCCATTTAAGCTCGTCTCAATCCAATATAATATGAAATATAGGTTTATATGGTTGGTCAAGTCAACAAAAATACAACTTATGTCAAAATAAAGAATTTGCAGAGTTGATTTACTAAGCAAAAGGAAAGAAGTTAAAGAGAGAAGAGGCAACTTACAATGATTAAAGCCTTGATATTATCCCTTGTGATAGGAATTGAAAAATCTTGACTCTTTTGAAGCCTTAGGAGAACATCAACTATATCTTCTTCTGTGGGATCATCATTACTACTCCCAGTCTGGAATTCATGTTCATTGATAATTTCTTCTAAAAGAACATCAACCTCGTCGTGCATTTTACGTAGTTTGTATTTTAATCCACTCAAAAAATGAATTATCTTCACTGAGGGAAAAAGATCGGCAAGATCAAATACTCCAGCTGAACCTGCCACTGTTCTCATTATATCAATCAAAGAGCCCTGATTTTTACAAGCCCTGCCTACACTTGCTTTGCAAATAACCGAATTCGTGTACAACGACAACGTTTCAGTAAAGTTGATTGGACTGCCAGAAGCAGAATCTTTAATTGAGCTAACAAGATTGGATATCTCATTAAACATCTTGGGATAAAATAACTGAATATTTTTATGACTAAGGAGTTCCTGAATACAAATTTTGCGCATTTGTCTCCAGAAATCACCGTAGTTACAAAATCCCATGTCAGCATGGTCATAAAACATTTCTTTTCCGACCAAAAGCACTGGTCGATTAGAGAAATTGAAATCATGTTTTCTCATCACTTCTCTAACCATTTGAGGTGATGAAACAACAATGGCTGAACGTTCGCCGAGTTTCATGTGCATTAAAGGTCCATGTTTAGAGGCTAATTTGGAAAGAGTACGATGTGGTAGTAACTCAGATGATTTCCAGTCAACAAGTTGGTGTAAGTTTCCTATGAATGGAAGCTTCATAGGCCCTGGAGGCAATTTTCTTCTACTATTACACTCTTTGAACCATTTAGTGACAAGTAAGGGTAAAAGGAGAAGTAAAGCTCCAAGAAGAAAAGATAGCTCCATTTCCAAATATGGTGTATTCAAGAAATCTTAGATGAGATTGGCTATGTTTATGCATGTCATGACTATTTATACATGATCTAGTAATCTTTCGTGATTGAATAAAACTCTTCTACAAACCATTATATATGTGTGAAGGTCATGATATAATGAGAGGCACGTCATATAAGAAATATTGTACCTGGTATGCGGCCAACGTCGTGTGAAATTTTTGGATGATATCTACTTAATTATTTCCTCTAATTGGTGGTCAATTAAGTTCATTGTTATATTAGTTGAAATAAATATATTAACATGAAGCGGGCAGCTTAAGTTCTCACTTGAAGCAAGCCTACTGATCACGCCCAACTATGCCTTATAAAAAGGACAATGCGGTCGCTGCAAATATAATCCGGTTTACAAGTCCGGAGTCGAATCCCACAGAGAACTAAGGTTTAGCTACAGCTGTTCACTATCACCAAGAAGACAAGCTTGAACAAATCCTAACTTATAGATATTAAGATTCTTCCGTTTAACTAATTAACTAACAAATTAAAATAGTAAATTAACAACTAACGATACTGAGGGTTATAGAAAAGATTAAGGAGGTCTAGAGTTATGATTTCCCCTATTGTCGGAATCCTTCCCGCTATGTCTTCTATAATTTCGCCTAAGTATTCTCTACCGATCATGAGCGCTCTTATTACCGTAAATCTCTCCCGAGTAATTACAACAATTTATTAGACGCACTCTCCCGAGCTACGCTAGCTGGCTTTTAATACAGCTCACTTCAGATCGCACCCAAGGCTTCGTTATCCCTAATCCCACCTTTAAACCCTCGGTTATTGATCCCTCATATACTTTGGGAGTGGTGTTGTTCAACAATTACCTAAATATGCACTCTCTCCCGAGTTATGCATACTAAATAGGCACAGCTAATTGAGGCTCTTCAATCAACCAGAATATAAACGTAGTTGAACAAATAGAGAAAAGCTATGACTCAATTATATAAAAACATAACAAGAATTTATCCTACAAAAGGTTCTATCAAAACTCTAGATAACAAATTAGCTGTTCATAATAGTATGTAAAACTACAATACTAAAAGTCATAACCAACAATGAAAAATAGGAAGAGGAAGGAAAAAACTCGTAGAAGAATTCTCCGCCTTGCTCCCAATGTGTTCTTGCCTCCAAGGGTGTTGTCTAACCCTAAAGTAGTGTCTCTCCGCCTCCTTAGGTCTAATTTGTGTCCAAAATATGTCCTCCTCTCGTTCTTGGCCGGCCTCCTTTGTTTAATATAGGGTTTAGGACTTAAAATCCCATGTTTTGCACTTTAGTCCCTGAAATTTTCGCTTCCTGCCGCGGTTTTGCCGCGGTCGCGGTGGAACCGCGGCCAAACATGCCCTCTGATTCTTCAGTTGTCCGCGAGTACACTCTGCCGCGGTTCTGCCACGGTCGCGGCAAAACCGCGGTTTTTCACCCTGTTCCATTTGGAATTTGGGAAAACATAAAACATGAAAGTTGTAGCCCTTTGAGTTAGCTTTCCAACCATAGATTGTGGAGCCCAAATGGAGTTCTGAGCAAAAAGTTATGTCTATTTTACTAGACAGTGCGCAATATGCCTCCTCAAGTCTTCGTTCGTACTTAATTATCAAATTTGACCCCCGAACACGATCCCGGCTTAATTCCTTGAGCTTTTACTCAGACTTCAAAGCTTCAAATCACTTAAATTCATTCCATAACATCTATATAGCTCGGAATCACACCTACAAGGCATAAAACACACAATTAGTGCAAAACACTAGCGATTAAAGCGCAAACTCAATTAAAGTGCAGTAAATTCGAGTGTAATAAGCGACTAAAATATGCAATTATAGCCTATCATCACCTACTTACTGATTTGGCGATACAGAGTATTTATATATGCTGAACTTCAGTATTTAAAAATATTAGTGAAGTATAGAAGAACTTGTTTGAGGAGTTTCTTAAAGTAAAATAATGTTATAATTTTCATTCACAAATTTTCGGCCTTTTTTCCTTATGAAATTCATGTCCAACCATGATTTAATTCTTGCAAAATCTTATTTCTACATGGTTATTAGAGGAGGTTATGTCCCAGCTCCCTAATTAAATAAAGTAGTAAGATAGGTTTTTCTTTGAAACTTTATTAATAGAAGTGGTTTATTTAGAAAAGAAATTTAGTTCTAGTTATGAGGTGGCTAATGGAAAAAATTTTATTTTGTGTCTCACACAACTTATAATAGTTGTGTGAGGTCTCTTTTTTGTCTTACAATTGTGTGGTCCCAGAATTTTGTGGACCCAGATGTAAGAGATGGGTCCACAAATATGTGAAATAAAAAGAGGCCTCGCACAACTAATATAAATTGTGTGAGACACAAAATAAAATCACTCGGCTAATGGTCGTAGATGGTACAACGTCAATCAAATCATGAGTTTTTGTGCATCTTGGGCTTCACTGGTCAACATGGCTAGTCAAGGAAAGTGTGTGCATGCTAATTGAGAAAAAAGTGTATATCTAAACGTGGTATTTGTATCAAAACTATATTGACATACTGACTAAGCGCTCAATTAAAGTGAAAGTTTGTTTTAATTTTTAATTTTTATTTTTTAGCAAGTGTGAGTGTGTTAACAAGAAAATATTTAGAAATTCAATTTTAATTTTGGTTTCTAAAAACAGAAAAGGGCTATATTTGTCCATATACTATTAAATATTAGTTATATATATTCCTCGTTATACTATTCGACACTTTCTCCTCTACCCTTACCAATTTAAATACATTTACCCATCAATCTAACAGACCCCTAGACCTCATCCTTCCTGTTACACGTGACTTCATCTTAAGGCCCCCCCTCTTTATTTTTGATTTTGTAAAGCCCCATATTAATATTTATTACCCAAATTAATAACCCACCCCAAGGACCCCAGGAATTGAATCTCCGGATTAGCTCCGGTACTTGGGGTTCTCGTATTCCTCCACTCCGTTCATTTATAATCAATGCTCAATAGAGGAAAATATATAATGCACAAAATATGCTTGCTTTGCTCACTAAATATGGTAGCTTCTGATCGATCTTATCTTCCTCCTCGGTGCTTTATTTAGCTACTTGCCTACTTGATTTTTCAGAAACAAAACAAAGTTAGAGTCCATTTGGATTAGCTGATTTGAAGTAGCTGATAAGCATTAGGTGCTGAAAAGCACTTTTAAGTGTTGAAACTGATTTAATAAATAAACAGTTACGTGTTTGGACACAAGTGCTAAAATCGATAATAAGCTGCCACAGTAGTTGATAAAAAAGTGCTGATAAGCTCTTTTCTGTTAAAATGACTTAAATAACCTTAGAATTGTTTACACTTATAAGGGCTTAATTTCCTCAAAATTTTAGATTCCAGATCGATTCAAATACAAAATATTCTATTTGTCATTTTATTTTAAATACAACTGTGCTTAGATAAGATAACTTTTATGATACATATAATTTATTTTATGATAAGCATATAATCATAAATTATAATAATTAATAAATTGATAAAAGTTTCGCAGTAAAAAATAAACCTAAATAGAACAAAATATTTGAAGAGAAGTAAACAATGTCTTCATCAGCACAACACTTAGAAAGCAATACACCAAAAATTCGATATGTCCTATTTATTAGATACAGTTCAAAGATTAATACACAATCACATAGATACAAATATGCAAAGGAATAGAGAATTTGCTTATCTTAAATTGTCAATGAGAATTGCAGACTTGGGGGGGGGGGGGGAGAGGGGGGGCAGGGGGGTTGAAACAATACTTGAGGCAGTGAGTATCGATGTAAGAGTTTGTTCTAAAAAAGAATATTTTAAGGATAAAATAGTAAAAATCTTGGTCGAACTTAAAGTGCTTATAATCTAAAAACTCATAAGCTGGGGATGACCTGCTTATGGATTTTGGCTTATTTTTGACTTATATGCACTTGGCTTATAAGCACTTTTAACTTTACCAAACTCCTAGATAAGCCGAAAAGTGCTTATAAGCTAGTTTGACCAGCTTATAAGCTTAGCCAAAAAAACTCTTATTTAAATCCTATAAATGTTCAAAGTTCTATACAACTTGTTCTTATACGCCAACCTGTATGTTCTTTCCCTTTCTATACCTCTTGGGTGAACACAAAAATAATTATTTTAATGGAGACACAGATTTATCTTAGAGAATTTGAAGAATCTTAAGATTTTGATTTGATCACTCCGGTATAGGTTTATTTCGGAACGAAATAAGTGCGATTATGATTTGGTTATTAGTTGATATTCTGTGTTTTCTAAGAAGTTAGAATTAGAGTACATAAAAATAAAATCTTCCAGTGAAATCACAAATTTTCGATCAAATTTTCCGGTGATAGTCCATGTTGAAGGTGATGAGAGGTCTTAAGTTTCACTGTGGGAGAGCAAGAAGGTTGCTGGATTCAACTCCTCTCCATTTCCTATTGTTTCAATTTTTCCAAGTTCCTACTTGGATGGATGACACATGTTCCTTTTTTATATTAATGGTTTAGATTTAATTTACAAAAGATGAATCTTAACCATGGTCGGAATAATAGATAATATTAAATATATAATTTTTAATTTTTTTATATTTTCTCCTACAAACTATATCAATGTGGTAGGCTCGAAAAAAGTCAGGTGTCATGCGGAAGCTAGTAAAGCAAACCCTCAACGATGATAAATCAGATAACAAAAGAGAAATCTACCAAAAGAGACACAAACATTTAACGTGGTTCGGTCAATTGACCTACGTCCACGGCGGAGATGAGCAATCCACTATAATAAAGGAGAGTACAAAATATCGAGAGAACAACCTCACGAAGAGGCAAACACAAGTGACACACTAACACCTGTCCCGTAAAGTTCTCCCCCTAAACACGACTATCATCCCCATATGGCTACATTGTGGATGCTAATGAATGAGAAGGAAGGATCCTCAATTTATAGAAGTCCAAACCTTTTCCTACAAGAAAAAGGACTAGCCAAATATGGGAGATTTATAGTTTCCTTCTAAAAGAAGGAAAACCCAATTAAGGTAAATAT